TCTGAAATCATTAATTTTATCTTTACCATATAATAGTATAAGCACCCCAGTTATTGAAGCACCATTTATTGCATTTGCAATTGGAAATTTCTCTATTGATTGTTATGGTAGCACTACAGGTAAGTGTTGGACACCAGTTAACGATGACGAAATGAATGATAAAGTGATAGCTGAATTACAAAAGCATGCATTGGATAAAGGCAATGAAGCAATTAGTTCTTTATCTCAAAAAAATGAGGAAAACAGTTCCAGACCGCCATCCCATGCAACTGATTTAGCTAAAGCTACACAGCCAAGTATGGAAACAAATGAAATTAATAATCATCAAGAAAGTGAATTAGGTGCAAATAATGCAATACATGATGGTGATATAGTACACAATGATATTGCCAGCCAAAAACCCCCATCAATGTCTGATAATGTCTCAACTCACAGGCAAAAAGTTACAAGCATATCACCTCACAGTTTTAATCCACTTGAATATTGCAAAAAATGGTGCAAAATTGATAAATTTGGTTCTCACAGAGAATGGCTGTATTTCATTGATTCTGGAGGTCAGCTTCAGTTTCAAAAGCTATTACTAGCTTTTATGCCTCACACTTCAGTTCTTATTCTAGTGGTCAATTTATCTAAAAATCTCTCTGATAAATCGTGTACAAAGATGGAATGCCCTGGTCGAACAATTGATTCAGGCAATGATTATTCTCTTAAAGTAGAAGATATGCTAAAACAAATTCTTTCAGCTGTAGCTTCAAATGCACAAAAGGCAACTTCAATAATTGATGACTTTCCTTGGATTGAACGTAAAGGTGGAAAACTGCTTAATGTATTAACAGTTGGCACACATCTTGATGTATATGATAAAAAGCAAGAAGAGTCTGAAGTTGAATCTTTGGAAGAAAAAAGAGATGGATTAAGAATGATTTTAAATTCTGTTAGCAAATCTATTCAAATAGTTTATGCTCCACCTCCTCCACGTAAAAACCCAATTCATGTAATTGATGGTCGTAAAGCTGAAACTGATGAATCCAATGATAAATCTATAGAAATAATTGCAAAAAGCTTAAAAGACCAGTCATATAAAATCAAAGTACCTCTACGATGGCATTACTTTGGTGTTATTCTTCGTAAGAAATCAAAGGAAACCAGTGGGATATTGGATTTGTCTTCATGTGAAGATTTTGGAGAAATGCTACAAATGAAGCCTCAAGAAGTTCACAATGCCCTAAAGTTTTTCCATATACTAAAAATGTTATTTCATTATGATGATTCACCAGCAAAGGACATAGTGTTTGTGAAATTGGATGGTCTTATTAGCATTATCAAAGAATTAATGGATGCCATAACTGAATTTCGAAAATTCAAAAGGTTAGAAAGAGAGCAAAGACAACTAGCAACAGTAGGACGTCTTTCAATTGAAAATCTCAAGTCAACTGTTTCTTTTAAAATGATTTCATCAATATTTAATAATGATGATGACTTTGTGTCAAAAATGCTTTTGGGTTTGTTTCAGCATCTTGACATTGCTGCACAGCTTTCAGAAACAGAATTTTTGATGCCAGCTCTACTTCCTGTCATTGATATATCTGACACTGAGGTAGCTATTCTTGAAACAACACCTTTACTTTTCTACTTTAAAGACAGAGCTGTTCCTATGGGCCTCTTTTGTGCTGTTATAGTAAATCTTCTCTCTGCAGACTCTTGGAGAATTACTTCCAGGCAAGGAAATTATTCTAATTTTTTTACATTACAAAAAACAATGGAAGCTTGTCAAATTATAAATTTGACTCTAGTTGAACAGCTTGATTGCATTGAAATACATTGTAGAAAAACTGCTGATAGAGTCAAAGTTAAAAATGCTGTAGAGAAATCCATAAATGAAGTTATGAAGAAGAAGAACATTAATGATGAATTACCAATATTGGCATTTTATTGCCGGTTCATGCGGCGGTGCAAGAGATCATAAAGCTACAATAAAGAATATCACAAAAAAAGAAGACTCTATCATTGTTAACTGTGAAAAATTTGATGATGATTTAGAGGAAAAATCTAAAGAAAATTGTTCATGGTTTACTAGTGAAAGAGATATAAAGGATGAATGTGAGTAAAAATATTATATTAAATTTTAATGTTATTATTTTTACTATTATTAGTTACAAAAATCCTCCACATTGGTGATTTGAAGGAAATAATTACAATATTACAGGAAAAAGAGTTTCCATTTGACAAATGGTTTGATTTTGGATTAAGGTTGGATGTTACTTATAATCAGTTACAAGTTATTAAAAATGACATGAGAGAAAGCCATCCTTGCCTTCGTGAATGCCTTGCAAAATGGTTGAAAACTGGTAAAGCAAGATACAAAGAACTAATAGAGGCTGTTAAAGGTATTGATGAACATGCTGTAGCTGATGCTATAGGAAAACATTTAAGGTCAAAATAATTTTTGTGTTATTATTATTAAAATAGGAAATTTGTTTTCTTTAAATTAAAGTAGTCCAAGACTAACTAGACTTATAGATTTTTATTGGTGTACATGTACAGACTGATTTGAAAAAAATCTAATTCGACTATTCTTTCATTTTTCTTATTTTTGGTTTGTATCATCTTCCATCTCCTCTACTTTTTATTTTGGTTCACGAGTGCTACTTTGAATTATTTAAAGGTACTTACGTTCCCTGTCATACTCTATTACAGCTCCTCAATCTTCCTCAACTGAAGATACTGCACTTAATAATGGAATTTCCTGATATACCAAAAGTTAATGACACATACTACCTTGGCAAGTACGCCGAACTTCAAGATTGCATAGCAAGAAAAGTAAAGCAACTTAAAGAAATGAATATCAATTACAGTGGTGAGAAGGAAATAACAGGGACACTTGCCAGTGTCATCAGAGGTGTAGAACAAAATAAAACAATTACATCCTTGTCACTATCCATTCGTCAAAAAGTTTCTCCTCCTCCTCTACCTGATGGAGTGATAGAGCAGTTACTAAAGGACAACAACACATTACAAGCTCTTTCACTGAACATACATAATGAGCTCCTACCATCATCACTGAATATAGTAGAAGTGAATACACCACTGACTGCTTTAGAAATAGAAGAGAAAAGTAGTAAACTGATGGTACCACTCCTTCAACATATTAAAGAATTACACTGTCTGATACTACATGATCCATACCCACCGCATCTTCTATTTCTCTCTCATCCCAGTCTACATACACTTACTTTACCACTAGACACAGCTGAGGGTGCTATTGAACTATTTACTATTCTACAAACCAATACTACACTTAAAGCTCTGAGTGTGGAGATAAAGGAGGAGAGAGTATATACCAGCAGTCTGGGTACTAGTCTACAAGACATGCTAACACAAAATCAAACACTGAATTACCTTGGGATTAATAATACCATTCCCAGTTCATTCCTCTCCTTCCTAACAACTGGTCTCAGACATAGCACCAGTCTACAGCAGTTGAGTGTATCCATTCCACTGAATGAAGAGATAAGAACTTTTATTAATGTCATCTCTCAAAAGAACAATCTCACAAAACTTCAATTGAACTTTAATCTAGATCAGTCATACAGTAACTGTAGTAAGGAAGAGAAGGAAAGAATAATGACACAATTGTTTTATGAACATGTACTACCTGCTGTTACTAACATGCTACAGTCACATGCAACCATCAGACTACTGAGGATAGTGTGTGAATATTATATTTGTTATGAGTCATCTCAACCTAACTGGATAGAACTAGTACAACATTTATATGAAACTGTCTTCATTCATCCATCACTTGAATATATTGGGATTATTACTGGATTCTCTACTCCTCTGCCTCTCATGGTGTATAAAGATCAAGAGAAGACATTGATTGATAGACACAGAAAAATACAACCATTGACACAACTTTTAATAGTTATTAATTCTACAGCTATTTTCTGTGACAATTTCTCAACTATAGCATTTGAGGAAAGTCTGAAAAATGCTCTAAAGGAAGATTTTCTTAATTATAACGTAAGTACAGCTATTGTACAGGGAGAAGCCCAAGTTGGTAAAACCTGTCTAAAATCATTAATTTTATCTTTACCATATGATAGTATAAGCACCCCAGTTATTGAAGCACCATTTGTTGCATTTGGAAATTTCTTTATTGATTGTTATGGTAGTAGCAGTACTAAAGGCAAGTGTTGGACACCAGTAACTGATGATGAAATGGATGATAAAGTTGTTGCTGAGTTACAAAAACATGCATTGGATAAAGGCAATAAAATCAATGCTAAATCAAGTAGATCTATATCTCAGGAATTGTCTAAAAATGAAGAACATGTTTTGCCATTTTATGCAACTGTAGATGATTCAGTTGAAGAATCACAGCAAAGTATGGAAACAAATGAAACTAATGATTATCAAGAAAGTGAATTAGAATCGAATAATGCAATACTTGATGGTGTTGTAGTACACAACAATATTGCTGACCAACAACCCTCATCAATGTCTGATAATGTTTCAGCTCACAGGCGAAAAGTTACAAGTAGATTATCTCAGAGCTTTAATCCACTTGAATATTGCAAAAAATGGTGCAAAATTGATAAATTTGGTTCTCACAGAGAATGGCTGTATTTCATTGATTCTGGAGGTCAACTTCAGTTTCAAAAGCTATTACTAGCTTTTATGCCTCACACTTCAGTTCTTATTCTAGTGGTCAATTTATCTAGAAATCTCTCAGATAAATCATGTACTTTGACAGTTAGGCAAAAAAAGAGTCAAGCAGGTGAGGGTGAGGCTGGCCTAGAAAGTTCTAGTTCATTGACACAGTGTCATGATGAAATAGTTGATTCAGGCAATGATTATTCTCTTAAAGTAGAAGATATGCTGAAACAGATAATATCAGCTGTAGCTTCTAATTCACAAAAAGTAAGCTCAATAATTGATGACTTTCCTTGGATTGAAAAAAAGGGGGGAAAACGGCTTAATGTATTAACAGTTGGCACACACCTTGATGAATATGTTAAAAAACAAGAAGAGTTTGAAGTTGAATTTTTGGAAGAAAAAAGAGATGGATTAAGAATGATTTTAAATTCTGTTAGCAAATCTATTCAAATAGTTTATGCTCCACCTCCTCCACGTAAAAACCCAATTCATGTAATTGATGGTCGTAAAGCTGAAACTGGTGAATTTAATGATAAATCTGTAGAAGTAATTGCAAAGTGTTTGAAAGACCAGTCATATGAAATAAAAGTACCTCTACGATGGCATTATTTTGGTGTTATTCTTCGTAAGCAGTCAAAGGAAACCAGTGGGATATTGGATTTGTCTTCATGCGAAGAGTTTGGTGAAATGCTACAAATGAAACCTCAAGAAGTTCACAATGCCCTAAAGTTTTTCCACATGCTAAAAATGTTGTTCTATTATGATGATTCACCAGCAAAGGATATAGTGTTTGTGAAACTGGATGGTCTTATTAGCATTATCAAAGATTTAATGAGTGATGTAATTGAATTTCGAAAAATAAAAGGTTTAGAAAAAGTTGAAAGGCAACTAGCAACAGAAGGATGTATTTCAATTGAATGTCTCAAGTCAACTAAATCTTTCAAAAAGATTTCATCAATATTTAAAAATGATAATGACTTTGTGTCAAAAATGCTTTTGGGCCTATTTCAACATCTTGACATTGCTGCACAGCTTTCAGAAACAGAATTTTTAATGCCAGCACTTCTTCCTGTCATTGATATATCTGACACTGAGGTAGCTACTCTTGAAACAACGCCTTTACTTTTCTACTTTAAAGACAGAGCTGTTCCTATGGGCCTCTTTTGTGCTGTTATAATAAATCTTCTGTCTGCAGACTCTTGGAGAATAATTACTTCTAGACATAGAAATTATTCTAATTTTTTTACATTGCAAAAAACAATGGAAGTAGAGACTACAATGGAAGCGTGCCAAATTATAAACTTAACTTTAGTAGAACAGCTTGATTGCATTGAAATACATTGTGGAAAAACTGCTGATAGAATCAAAGTTAAAGATGCTGTAGAGAAATCCATTAAAGATGTAATGAAGAAGAAAAATATTGATGACGAGCTACCAATTTTGGCATTTTATTGTCTGCCACAATGTGGTAATGGAAGAGATCATAAAGTTACAAAAACCGAAGATGGCATTATTTGTGAGGAAACCAACCAAGATTTCCAAACAAATAAAGAATATTGTTCATGGTTTACGAGTCAGCAAGATAAAAGTGATAATTGTGAGTAAAAAGTATACTGTACTGCTTTAATATATTATGTTTATAGGTACAAAAGTTCTTACCATTGATGACTGGAATGATATAATAGGAATATTAGATGACAAGGACTTTCCAAACCACAAGTGGCATAAAATTGGAGTAAAATTAAATATAAAATATAATCAGTTACAAGACATTAAAAAAGAAAACAGTGAATGCTATGACTGTCTTTGTGAATGTATTGCAGTGTGGTTGAAAACTGGTAGAGCAACATACAGCAAGCTAATTGATGCTGTTAAAGGTTCTGATGAACATGCTGTAGCTGATGCCATTAAAGAACATTTAAGTACAAAATAATTTTTGTGTTATTATTAAAGTAGAAATTTGTTTTCTTTAAATTAAAGTAGTCCAAGACTAACTAGATTTATAGATTTTTATAGGTGTACATGTACAAAATCATTTGAAAAAATAATCTAATTTGACTATTCTTTTGTTTTCTTATTTTTGTTTTGTATTGTCTTCCGTCTCCTCTACTCTTTATTTTGGTTTTGCGTGTCCTTCTTGTGATATCAGTATATACTTTAGTTTGTATATGTCATTGCTATGTCATTTTTGCTTTTGTTTTTGTGCTATAT